TTTACGGGGTCTGAGGTCATTTCCTTGCCTGTCTGTTGCCAGAATCATAATCAACCTCAACAGAATACATCTGGTGGAGTTAAAAATTGTGTATGTGTGTGTGTGAGAGAGCGAGAACTCATACTAAAAATTCACATCCTTAAATTGATTCAATACGTTTTCATATACTAACAAAATTGTACAAAAGCAAAACAGCAAAGTTAAATTTTGACTTGAATCTATGAATGAAATAGCAAAGGTTGCTCTTTTCTTTTCTTTTCTTTTCTTTTTTCTTTTTTGGTTTCTCTGTGTATCTTTGGCTATCCTTGAACTCACTCTGTAGACCAGGCTGACCTTGAACTTATAGTTCAAGCTTGCCTCTGCTTCCCAAGTACTGGAATTAAAGACATGTACCACTACCACCTAGCTAAAAGATCACTCTTGAGTATCAGGAAACTTGTCTAAAAACTTTGGTCCTTGCTAATTTTTTTTTCTTGGATCATTTTAAAATGTGGTAGAAAAGAAAAGAGTCAAAGGGCATTGAATTTTTCTTAAAATTTACAGTTAGATTTCTTCTATTTGTGATTACTTTCAACTTTTTTTTTGTTTTTTGGGGTTTTTTTTTGTTTGTTTGTTTTTTTGAGACAGGGTTTCTCTATAGCTTTGGAACCTGTCCTGGAACTAGCTCTTGTAGACCAGGCTGGCCTCAAACTCACAAAGATCTGCCTGCCTCTGCCTCCCGAGTGCTGGGATTAAAGTCATGTGCCACGACTGCCCAGCTGTGATTACTTTTAACTCTTAAGTCTTCCCATTGGAATTTACTTCTGTTTGCTGTATAGTAAAGAATATTCAAAGCAAAACCAAACAGACTTTAGGTGCCTGGAGGAGATCACTTCTGGCATTCATCCCTTCATAGCTACTTCATGGTGACTTTAGTATTTTGGTACTTTATGGATAACCAGGGAAGCATTCATAGCTCAGAGATGACTACTTTTAAAGAGGAGAGCTTGGCTTCTTCCCATAATTGTGCTGAAAGATACTACAAGAGCTCATCATCTCCCAGGACTTCTCTGCTAACTGTAAAGGAGGCTTGTGAAGTCTTCTTGATTTGGTGTGGTAGAACATGTGAACAGTGTGTCTTTGAGTGTGCTCACAAGTCCACATGCATACTCATTTGAATGTTGAGAAATCCCCTGTGTTTTTATAAATTGCCCCTTTTTCTTTATGCCCTTTTGGTCAACCAGAATATGGCGGGGTCTCCAGCCTGGGCACATGGCCCAAGTGTGCTGACAATCAGTACCCTATTGTTTCTTTCCTCTTATGTGCATGGACAGAGGCTGGCACAGCTGCCAGATTGAGGACCACTGTTTGTTGTAACAATAGTCGCAGTACATTCTACTCTCCACAGAACAGCCATTCTGTCTTGGAGCAGTGGACTAGAGTCTTTCTTACTGCCTTCCTCAATGCTCTAAGAATGATAACAAGGGAGAGATTTCCTTCTAGGCATGTTTCAGGGCAGGGGTACCTTATCACAAACCAGTGATAGGAGGTGTCTATTAGCATTCTTTTCTGGTTTGGGGTGGGGAATCTCATTTCCTTCCCTTCTCAATCCTTTATACTTATTGATTAACTCAGGAATAGGGCTCACAAGTGAAGGGAAGGACTTTCTTTGAAGTTTCTATGGAGAACAGATCTGCAATGTATGGAAGGGATCCATTTTGGTTTTGGATTAGTCAAAATGTGGGCTAACTTGTAAATCAGTGGCCTAGTCTAAACTTGATCCTGGGACCCTGAATCATTCTTCAGCAGGAAGACAAAGTCGAAGTTCCAAAGAATAAAAAACCATGGTCACTCATTTACCCAGAAATGTTGTCTACAGAGTATCTACTTCTGACTTCTCTGGCAAGTCAGATAAATGTTAGCGTTAGCCCGTCTCAGTTACCTTTCCTGTTGCTATGATAAAATGTCTGGCAAAAGCGATTTAAAGGAGGAGGGTTTATTCTGGCTCCCAGTTGGAGTAGCAGTCCTTTGTGGAAGGGAAGTTGAGGTAGCAGGAGCTTGAAGGAGTTCACAGTTACATCTGCAGTCACGACGAGAGCAGTGAGTGCTTGGGTTACTTCCTCATTTTATTCAGTTCAAGACCTCAGCTAGTGGAATGGTGGCACCCTCAGTTAGGGAGTCTTCCAACCTAAATTAATCTGATGTAGATTATACTCAGAGACTTGTCTCATAGGTAATAATAGATAGATTCCATCAAGTATTAACCACCACAAGCCCTATTAGCATTGTTGGTATGACCCTTGACTTAGTACTTAATAAACCTTCCATTTTTCTCATCTGAAGTATCTTAGAAGCTAGTAATGGGAATTAAGTGAGCTATAGTGTGTATGTATCCCTATAATGTGTTCAGTAAATACACACTCTATAAGGATCCAGAAGGGGGTGCAAGCATGAGATACAACTCATGCTACACTGCTTACTCATTGAGAAGTCAGCGTGGACTCCCATGCTGGTTCAAAGTGCATGGGAACTTCTAAGACACATAGCTGTATCTAACAGGTAGCCCCTGTGATGCACTTATTTCGTGGATAGAACAGTTTCAGAACAGCCTACTTCTTGAATTACGTTAATATCATGGGGCTTTGTCTATAGTCCCTAGAATAGTCTAGAATTTCTGCATTCCTGCTAGAAGATTGTTGACGTGTAGTATTAAAAGTGAGTTATAGCTGACTCAGAGGGACTTGATAGCCGAGGTGAACCTTTATCTTCCTTTGTACCTTTGTTCCTGATTTGGATCCTGGACAGCCATTTTACTCTAAGAGATGATTCTTATTTAATGGGTAGGTTTTTAAATAACATTGATGACCCGTGAATGATCTATACCCACAGTCTTCCTATGTACTAGCAATTATTGCTAGACTTTCATTAATTTGTACAAAGGGGCAGTTGCCTTCAGAATGATCATAACGACTTTTACCCTTAAGAGACCCAGAAATCTCTGACAAGAACCAGATTCCTGGCATAACCTCTATAAATCACACAGCCCTACACCCCTTGTAATCAGACTCCAGACTATGCAGAACAAGAGAGCTTTGATGAGTGATGAGGTAGGCAACAGCTTTTCTGTGAAGTATTCTGCTTGCCTGAAACAATCCTGTAGTGCTCAGTTTCAGTTCAAGTTGGGTTACTGCAGGACTGAATAGAGATGAGGAAGAAGATTGCTCTTAGAGATTACCTAGGGTCACCTGCAAAGGACCAGCTGTGTCTGTCATGTACTGATACCTGCAGAAGCAATAAAGATGGGAATAGATGATGGACTTCAGGTACTCTAAGGCAAAACTCAGTGCAGTTTTGACAATCCTCGTTGCTTTAAGAAAGGAGTGATTGCAAAATTTTCAGCATTATGGCCCTTATCCCAAAATTTTGTCTGGAACTCATGTGATATCGTCACTTCTCTCCTTCTCCATCTGCTAGTGCTGTGGGAAATGCATTTGAAGCATGCATCAGGAAAGGCATAATGTAGGTACTTCTTTTCAACCTCAAGTTGGAGTCTTGTTAGAGGTGAGTATGCTGGTAGAGAAAAGGGATGAGAATGATTGCTCTCTTTTCATGCGAATGGGGAACTGGATGTAAAATAAGTTGGACATGCACTGTAGGCTCACCCTGGACAAGAAATTAGCCCAGTGATCCTAGGACAAATAGGCATCCTATTTGTCGTGAATGCCAAATCTCTTATCAGTAAAACATGTAGTGTATTCAAAACAGATCCAGTTGCCTTTGAAGCTGCCATTGCTGTGGTTCCAGAGTGGTTGTGTTGCTAGTCCTATGTGAGGGCTGGGTAGGAAATCTGCCAGGCAGGAGTGTAACTGAACATAGTTCTAGCTGGGACAGAGCAGAGGATATCAGGCCTCTGTGAGGATGGAACAAGTGAGATCTCTCTCAGAAAAAAAAAATCTCTTCCTAAGTCATTTACTACCATTATTTTGCTACTCCTCCAGCTCTAGAGATAGCTTCTTGAATATTTACATTCTATAATATTTGAAATTATGAAACCAGTTGACCTGGAATGTGATTTTCTAGAAGTCATAGTACATGTTTGTTCTTGGTTGCTGCCATTTGATTTAGGAAAGATATCTTTTGGGCTGGAGAGATGAGTTAGTGGTTAAGAGCATTGCCTGCTCTTCCAAAGGTCCTGAGTTCAATTCCCAGCAACCACATGGTGGAACACAACCATCTGTAATGAGGTCTGGTGCCCTCTTCTGGCCTTCAGACATACACACAGACAGAATATTGTATATATAATAAATAAATAAATATTTTTTTAAAAAAAGAAAAGACATCTTTCTACCTCCATGAAAGTTCAATGATTCTTCCTTACCATACTTCAAAAAGACACTGAAAAACGTTTTGAAATGACGAGGAAAAGTGTAAAAAGTAGTCATTTGTCTGGCTTTGAATCCCAGCTTACTGTGGTTTAATAGTTTGTCTTCTTTAAGACTTAGTACTCAGTCTTTAAAATGGGGGTAACATGATTCATTTGTTTATTCATTTGGGCTCCTTGCCAGAAAAGAACCCAAATTCTGGATGGTGTTAGAAGCAATTAACTGCTTTATGAATATTTAGCTTTGGATATTATTTTGTCTATTATAGAACTTATTCTAACAAATTGAACAGATTCTTGATCACAGATAGTCTTCAGTGGTTCAAAAGGAGTTGGAGGTTTTTGAAGGTACCTCACATTCTATGGTCAGTTTCAGTTTTAGGCTATGTTATTAAGGACTTTGATATCCCAGGGTACAGGGAACAAGTGAATAAAAGGCAGGGGCGTGAGTGCGTGCTTGCGTGCGTGCGTGCGTGTGTGCGTGCGTGCGTGTGTGCGTGCGTGCGTGCGTGCGTGCGTGTGTGTGTGTGTGTGTGTGTGTGTGCGTGCGTGCGTGTGTGTGTGTGTCTGTGTGTGTGTAGTGTAGTGTAGTGTATATTTAGAGCTGTTGGTCTGACCACATGCTTTTGTTGTCTTGCAGAGATCCGGGCCCAGCTCACAGAGCAGATGAAATGCTTAGACCAGCAGTGTGAACTCCGGGTGCAGCTGTTGCAGGACCTGCAAGACTTCTTCCGCAAGAAGGCTGAGATTGAAATGGACTACTCTCGAAACCTGGAGAAGCTAGCCGAGCGCTTTCTAGCCAAGACACGAAGTACCAAGGACCAGCAATTTAAGTAGGGACTTCATGGCAATTGCTTTTAGAAACTTTGAGAATATGGTCTGGGTTGCAGGGAAGCAAAGGGTACCTCTTAGATCCAGGTTGCTTCCTGAACCTACAGCTTCAAATTTGTTGAAATCCCTCAAGAACTATTCCTTTTTCACATCAGTCTTAATGAGCAGTTCTCTATCTAAAAGAGATCAGAATAATTCAGGTGGTTCAAGGACCTAGAAAAGGGGGCCATTTCTATTCTCCTTTGACCATTACTTTGTGCTTGATTTATTCCAGCCAATTCCCATCTTTTCCTAAGTAATAATTCAATTGTTAGCTCCTTTTAATGTCTGCTAGGTATTGTGCTTGTACTTGTTCCTATGGTAATAGGATAAGCTTTGGAATTTTTGGTTAATAAGTAAAAGAGCCATGCAAACTATATAGGGAAAGGGACTTTAATAAAGATAGGAGAAAATGAATATTTTCAAAAACAGTGAAAAACAAGCTTAAGTAAGTAGAATAGGTCCCAAAGGATAGGTAATGCTTTGATAGCAAGCATAGAAGCTCACATTGGACATGCCCTGTGGTAATGAGCCTTTGAGGATATTGTATTGAGACAGACCAAAGGAAAAGTATGGGTAAAATTATATAATTTTTTTAAATCCAAGAGAAGTATGTTAAGTTTTGAGGGTAGTACATATAGAATTGGATAGCGTCTAGAAAGGAGCAGTAGGGATGTATTTGTGTTAGTCAACTTTCTGTTACTAAGACCAGATAACTGAGATAAATAAACTGTAAGGAGGAAAAGTGTTGTGTTTTGCTTTGCCTCATGGTTCCGTAGGTCCTAAGTCCATAGTTGTTTGATCTACTTTTGGGGGACACACACACACACACACTCACACACTCACACACTCACACACACAAACACATACTCTCTCCCTCTCTCTTCTGGCCTCTCTGGGTACTGTATTCATTCACACCACACACACACACACACACACACACACACACACACACACGAAATAAATCTTTTTTTTAAAAAATCTGAAAACAAAAAGTTTTCTTCTCTTAGAATGGAACATCTGAATTGCTGGTTTTTATAGGTCACATAATAGTACTTTCACATAGTACAGCCTACGACAAGGAGAGATGAGTCATAGGAACAAATACACATAATAAGGATAAGATGGAGAAAAACTAAACAAGAACTCAAGACAGCATCCTGTATTCAGACTAATTTATTCCTAAAAATATCAGCAAAAATCAGATAGTTCAGAGTCTCCCAGTTTTACATGGAATAAATGGGTTTTGTCCTTATAAATGTATATATGAAATTCTAAATTATATTTCATTTGCTATTTTTCAGCCTTTGGTACCTTTTTCTCTCATTTTCTTCTTTTTTACCCCACAATTAAACCTATGATCTACTTTCTTAAGTCCAGTGATCATCTGAACAGTCCACTTGGCTAACTTCTGCCTTGTCTCACTAATGCAGTGATGAGACCTCTACTTGTTAGCATCACACTGTAATGGAACCTTCATTTTTTCCTTTTCCTCCTCATTTCTGTGTAGCAGAAGAAAGCCTAGTGCTCAGATGTTTGTGTGCGATAAGCTGCTGTGCTCCTGCAACATTTTGTATGTAGCACCAAAATTTTTGTCCTTTTCTTCTTTTTTGGAGGGGTATACATAAAAGGCATTTTAGGCATGACTTGTTTGGTTAAGAAAGGTGTGGATGCTTTAGTAAATCTTAAATAATAATTGCTTATAAAAGATAGGTATAATTTTTCTGTAGATAATAGTCTGTTAGCCAGTCAGGACAGTGTCAGGCTCCTTGCCCCACCCCTAGAATGTGTCCTTTCTACTTTGTATGCCCAAAGTAGCTCATTATTACCATATCCTATTTCATGAATTCAGAAAAACAGCAGGGCAGGAGGACACTATATGTTTATTCTTTAAAGGTATAGTCTGAAAGTGGCACATATATGCTTTTAACTCATATCCAGCTGGACAGAACTTAGTCACATGGTTATGCTGTGCTGTAAGGGAAACTAGAAAATATATTTATTAACTTAGGTGACCTAGAAAGTATTTTCTATAAAGGGAGAGGTGTTGAGGGACAGTGTTTGCAGTATTGTCTAAGTTTCATGGTATATGGAAGGACAGTATGTGACCATACATAGTGCACATAAAAGAGTGATTTGTTCTGGTTGGAGGTGAAGTTCAGTGGATAGAAATGGGAAAATAAAACTGCTATTATTGTTCCTGAATATTCTATATAATTAAGACAGTGAAAGAACTTAGAGAAGAATGAAGAGATGAGGAAAGAAACATTTTAGATAGACAGTAGTGTCACCAACAGCCCAGAGGTGAGGGAAACACGGCTGGGGGGTAACTTATCTGCTTCTCTGAACAATATGAATTATAACTATAATGCTAAATGACCTTGGAAAAGTTGGTAAACCAGAGATTACAGAGGTTTATGAATATTGGCTAATAGAGTTAGGACTTTGTTTTATAAGGATAAAGTAGCCACTAACAATTTCTGAGCAAGGAATTGAATTATATCTGTGCTTTAGAAAGACTAGATGAAAGGGCATTGTAGGGAGGCATGGTCCATTGGGGAGGGTGATATGAGCCAACAAAGAAGTCATGCCCTTGGGAACAGAAAAGATGGAGCAACATGTGAAGGCAAGAACCACCTGAGTCAAACAAGCTGGGATAGAGAAAGCACTCTTTGGTCCTCTAAACTTTGGAGTAGGAAGTGTACTGTATCTTCATTCAGCCATCAAACTGTAGCCTCAGTTTTGCTGACTCTGTGACTGGTCCCAGAATAGTTCATTCTCAGCAGGCACTTGTCACTTCCCCCAGAGCTGTAGCAGCTGTTGGCCCAGTAATGCCATGAATTTGTCTGCCTGTGTTGCCAGGAGAACAGCTGCCAGCAGCAGCTCTGGATAGATCCCGCTCTGGGATGTGGAATGTATTCAACTTGGGATGGAGCAGGTTGGCTAGGCTGAAGACAGTACACATGGATTCATCCCACCCTTTTCCGGGCCTGTCTATTACTCTGGCTCCATTTCAGTCATCCATCCTAGGTTAGGATGGTTGTTTTGTTATAGTTTTACGTGGTACATTTAGGAATAAATATTGGCTAACTACTTATTTTCATCTTCTCTTGGAAACTCCTTCCCTGGAAGCCATTACCGTGTCACCCTGGTGGCTGTGCTTTCTGTTCTTTGTGCCTATTCACCTTTTGTCCCTCCCCACGTGGCTCAGTACAGATATGCTCATTAAAGCCCATGTAGCTTGACTCATGCAAAATCTGACCTGACGGTTCCATTCCTCTTCTCCAGACAGTGAGAGATGCTACAGATAACTAGAGAAATTACTCACTCTACCTTTTGCTTTAGGACAGGTAATATGGCCTCCCTGTCCTCTGATTTTGTCAGACTTGTTTGATTAAAAGCAGAGAAAAAATATTATGTGACAGTAATAAGCCTTTCTATGAAGGATATTTCTGCATATTTTTCACTCTTTGAAGAGCATAAATGTATTCCTATTTGTTGTTGAGCCTTTGATTGCCTCTTTAAGTGGAATTTGTGTTAATGTTGCCCCACAGGATTCTGAAGGGTTCTAATTAATAATGCGCTAGCTTTTCTTTTCTTCTTTTCTTTCACATGGGCTTGGTGTAAATTACTTTTCAGTTCATTTGATTTTGATCTCCTATTTTTAATAACTAATATCTTTTTTTATTTTGAGGTTGTTTCTCTCCCCAACTCCCACCCCATGTGGAGTTTTAGAGAAGCAATATGCTTGGTTATCCTGCTGTGTTCCTTACACAGACCTTATGCTGTTTTATAATCTGTTATTAACATCTTTTTTCTCCATCTTTTCTTTCTCCTTAATAAATATTTGTTGGACATTTTAAAATTATGTTCTAGACTCTTAGAAGAGGGAGCCCAAAGAAATTAAAGGGCCCATAACTGAGGCAACCTCCGCCAAAAAACCAGTATTTTACTTTTGCTAATATTAAATTAGCATTATCTGAAGGTGGACACACAGAAAGTAATTTTACCTATTTGGTCTCTATGAGTTATGTTACTTTTAGGAAAGATGAAGAGAGCCTGGCCTCTGTATCTCATGAATCTGGCAGAGGGTTGGGTGGGGAGTTGGCTCAGCAGTTAAGAGCACTGGTTGTTCTTCTAGAGGACCTGGGTTCAGTTCCTAGCACCTACATGATTGCTCATAACCATCTATAATCCCTATTTCATAGGATTTGATGCCCTATTCTGACCTCCAGGAGTATCAGGCTTCAACATGATATACAGACATACATGCAGGCAACATAGTCAAACACAAAGAAATATAAAATAATAGAATTTGATAGATATTCAACTTTAGTAATCTCTTCAGTGAAAGACTAAGTGCAAATTAATTAAGAAAAATTCTTACAGAGTTCATGTGCTTGGTCTTAGGTCTAGCCTATGTATGCACAAAGTGGATGTAGGTGCTTTTCTTCTGTTAAATGGAGTCTTTCTTTAAAGTCAAGTTGAAACTTGTTTACTATTCTCATAAGATGACATTGGTTGAAAAGCAGAGTCAGCTGGCCATGGAGAATATTATAGCTCTGACTGCAAGTGAGAAAAAAAGTGAGAATCAGAGAAAACAGAGATTCTCTTTGAGTTTGGGTTGACCTAAGGAAGACAGCAGCAATAGGAAACATAAAGTTGTTGTAAGGAAGAACTCCATGACTTCCTGGGACTAGCGCATCCCCCAGGAAAGTTTTGCCCAGATGTAGCAGCATCTGGTGTTAAGCACGAGTTGGCCTCCCTTCCCTGTGGCTTAAGTTACTATTATTGAGACATTACCAAGAAATTCCTTGGTATGTTTTCCACTGGCCCATTCCATATAGAACTTTAGATGATGGTTTAAATTTTTTAAAGGAGTTGTTGGCAGTTGGCAAAAGGAGACTGCAGCGTGCTCAGTCCTAAATGGAACATATCTACTGCCTTCTCTCCTTCCAAGGCT